GGTAATCCAGAAATTGGATTTTGTTTTAAACGATGATAATACCAAAAATACGGTTGTTGATTTTCCATGTTCCAAAATTTTATAAGCCGGATATAATAAGACTGTACAGCACTCGGCTCGACTGCACCAAACCAACTCTTTTTAAGATACTGAATCATAAGTAAAAAAAGTAATTTCTCCGTTTTTCGAAGATAGGATTTGAAATCGAGATATGGGCCTTCGAAGTTCGAAATTGGACCTTTGGTAAACAATTATTTTTAATTATTACATGTAAAAAGCAAAAAAGTAAAAATACAGACGTGTTCCGCCTTTTGCTCTTATTTATATGGTATATAAATTTTTTTGTGAAAACTTATATTACAGGTGCTATAACGGGTCAAAGGTCAGATCTTCGAAAAATTAAAAACTTAATATTTCAGAAAATTTTGAACTGATTTTTAAAAAATTCTTATCGCTGTAAAGGTGATTTAACCCCCTTTCTTGTGATATTAATATTTGTATACTTCGTTTATAAAAATTTTAGAAAAAAAAATTTCAATTAAAAAATAACTTCTTTTTTGTATAAAAAAGTATTTTAATAAAAAAATTACTGTTTACCGATTTTTAAAAAATTGGTATCGTTGCAAAGGCGATTAAATTCCCTTTCTTCTTATGTGAATATTTGTATACTTTGTGAATAAAAATTTGATAAAAAACATTTAAGAGGAAAAAATAACTTTTTTTATCAAAAAAAAATTTTACCAGAAAAATTACTCACTGATTTTTAAAAAATTGGTATCGTTGTAAAGGCGATTAAATTCCCTTTCTTCTTATGTGAATATTTGGATACTTCGTATCTAAAAATTTGAGAAAAAACACTTAAAAGGAAAAATACCAATTTTTTCTTATAAAAAAAAATCAGAAAAAGTACTAATACAAGTGAATACCGTATTTAAATTAAACAAATAATTATTAGTGTTTTAAGCATTAATTCGTTCTTGTTCACCCGCAGCCCTGTTAAGAATAAAGCAAAAGTATATGTAACAGAAGTCTAAGGCATATAAAAATATAAAAACTCCATGGTTTTTGATTTTTTACATAACGGGTTACATATGAAAATTAAAAGTAATTTTCTGTTTTATTTAAATAAAGTATTCAATTGTATTACTAATTACTACTTTTTTGTTTAAAATATTTTATATAAGAAAAAATTGGTATTTTTTCTTTGAAGTGTTTTTAAATTTTATAGAAATTTGTAACATAAACAATTTTTAACAAAATAAATAGCATACATAAAACACAGGTTTTAGTTCTTTAATTTTTAATATCGATATTTCGACCTCAATCTAAAGGTCATCTTCAGGAACTCTTAGTTGTGCCCGGTCGACCGACAACTAAGAGTTCACGAAGATGACCTCAGATTGAGGTCGAAATATCGATATTAAAAATTAAAGAACTAAAACCCGTATTTTATGTATTCTCTGGGCCTCAAGCTTATAAAATAAAAATTAGGTCAGTTTACAATTTAAAGGCCGATAAACAAAACCAATCAAAATAAATAGACTTATAAACTCTTCTGGTGGCCGCTGTGGTGTAGTGGTAAGCAGTGAGCGCTTACACTCCGCAGGGCCTGGATTCAATCCCTGGTCAAAGCAACATCGCAAAAATATAGAAAAAAGGCTTTTTCTTAACAGCAGTCGCTCCTCGGCAGGCAATGGCAAACCTCCGAGTGTATTTCTGCCATGAAAAACAGCTTCTCATATAAATACAATCGCCGTTCGGAGCCGGCGTAAAACTGTAGGTCCCTCCCCTTTGTGTAACAACATCAAGGCGCACGCCACAATTTGGAGGAGAAGCTCGGCCAAGCACTAACATATGTGTAAGCGCCAATCTATTATTATTATTATTATAAACTCTTCATAGTCTGGTGTAGACTTGTATCAGAATCTATAAAATTGAAGTATTATGAGCACAATCACTATAATGGGCAGATAACTTATCAGATGTATATGTTGCAAAAAATCTAATTGAATTATAGGCAAATATATAGTCAAAATCAATCTTAAGAGATAAAGATTTCAAATGATATTTTACAAATGTTAGTTTCGATTTATTTCAATAGAGTAGTTATTAAAATTTAGCAGTGTAATGCTCAATTCGCAATTGTTCATGTAAATAATAATAATAATAATAATAATAGATTGGCGCTTACACATATGTTAGTGTTTGGCCGAGCTTCTCCTCCGACTTGTGGCGTGCGCCTTGATATTGTCACACAAAGCGGAGGGACCTACAGTTTTACGCCGACTCCGAACGGCGATTGTATTTTTATGAGAAGCTGTTTTTCATGGCAGAAATACAATCGGAGGTTTGCCATTGCCTGCCGACGGACGACCGCTGTTAAGAAAAAACCTTTTTTCTATATTTTTTGCGATGTTGCTTTGACCAGGGTTTGAACCCGGGTCCTGCGGAGTGGAAGCGCGCACTGCTTACCACTACACCACAGCGGCCGACATGTAAATACTTTCTTAAATATAATTGAAATGAGGATAGTTATCAAGTCAATAAAAAGTGTTAAATAAAAAGAAAAGCACTGGCCACGTTACACTTATTTATTAGGTAATTGTGCAACGAAGTCAGCTATGAGTTCTTTTTTTCCATATGGTATCAGTATGATATCGACAATACTAAGAAAACATGTTATTTATTCTTTTGGAGAAGGTACTTAATTATCCGAAAAACAACTTTTTTAGTTTTTCACTGGCAACGTTACACTTAACATTTGCGGTACATTTCATTACGACTTAAAAGGAGGTCCAAAAAACTGTTTCGCTAACTTGGAACGTATCCTGTTAAACTAATTTATTTTCTATCGTTCAGAACTTAATCGGCCAAAATATATCAAGGAAATTTTTGTACTTTTCCTTGTTGAAGTATCGAAAACTGTTTTTAGGTTCGTGAAAAATCCATCGACAAAAGGAGCAAAATATTAAACACAAAATGCTTGGACATGATAAGAATTAGTGTCAGAAGCAGCTGACAGATATAGTGAATACCAATAATCACTAATATGTTCAATATTTGAAAGAAAAAAAAACGGGCTGTTTTACTTTCCTGTAGAATTGGCCATATGCATCGGCGTAGCCAGAATGAAATTTACCCTATTAAGCTGGCATTTCAGGGTACTATTTTATATATATATAAGGAAAATTTGAAAGTTAGGGGGGGGGGGGGGGGGGGGTCGAGCACCCCCAGCCCCTACCTGGCTACGCCCATGGTGTTCGTTACTATGCCAAGGCTTTTATTTTTGACAAAAAAGTATTTGGCTTGATTTAACTGTTATCGTCTTACTGAAAAAATAGAAGTCAGATTTAATAGTTGAAGCTGGCTTTTTTCAAAAAAAGTAGAAATATAAAAAGCATCCTTGATCCTTGTAAAGGATGTCATGAGGATGAGAAGGATATCCACCATTTTCTTCTACGAACATATACAGCCCTTGACAAGTTAAATTTTTGAAGTACTTCATAATGTTATTTTGGTTCCCTGTTTTCAAATATTTGTTTGTTATTATTTTTAGCTGCTGCTTTATAACTCTGATTTCTTTATGTATTATGAAAGGCGCTTTATTTGTGTTGAAGCTATTTTTCTAATGTACAGGAAAGGATTTAAATAAAAAATTTGCGTTTGCGGAAACTTGTTTTTACAAGCTTCTGTTTAACTTGCAATGTTTGTGTGTATGTCGGCCGTTGTGGTGTGGTGGTTCTTTGGAAAACTCGTATTTATGGACCGATTTGGGTCATATTTGAAATTAGTATTACATACTTACATATGTAAGTATGTATATAATTGGAAGGAAAGAAACTCCACAGAAAATTGTATCAGTAAGTGGTATACATATGTGTATTTAGAAAGCCCGCCGGTTTTGGTTTATATATCGCTACCTTAATATAGAAAGGCCCTATCTGACATCGTCGCTGATATACAAAAAGCCGTAACTAACTAAAAATCGAAAATTTACGTTTTAATTGATTATGATGCATTTGATCGCATTATGTGGCCCCAAATCGTTTTATGCAATAAAAGATTTTAGTCCATGGGCTTTATTTTCTAAAAAAAAGAAACAAAGTCCTCGGGCATTATTGCCTTTTCGAAAAAGAAATTTCGATTTGGCAATAACGGCCGCGGGCTTCATTTCCTAAAAAATTAAATAAAGCCCGCGGGCGTTATGTATTTCATCTTTATTGTGGCTCTTGTCTCCACTTTGGAATATGTACATCAAAAACCCGCTGTTCTAAATAAAAACTAATATGATAACATTGAACTAAATATATTTGTTTCCTTAATTATACGAAGAAATTGAAATTAACAAATTTTACTGCGTATATTTAAAACATATGTACATATGCATGTACATGTGTGTGGAAATTAAATAATTCAAAGTTTCAACAAAAAAAAAGGAACATGAAAAAGTAAAATAAATACTTTCGTCGATTGTCGAAAAATTAGACGGCAAATTGGACACAAAATACTTGTATTACCAATAGTACACCTACTGTGCTCTGCAAAGCAATTGAGAGTTTAAAATGATTGGCCCAACTTCTCCTCCGATTGGTGGTATGTGCCTTGATTTCACACAAACCACTCGACCACGGGTGATTCACGTTTTTCTGTCCTTTACTCATTTTTGTTGTTTGTGAAATTTTCAGTCGCCTGCTCAGTTAAAACAACCCGTGCGTCATCCCCATCACCACAGTACATTTGGAAGCCAGCCTGTGGACGCTCAACCGCGGCGGTCCGCGTTGGCATCATCGCGCTTGCTCCGGGCGTCCGCGGTTCGATTTTATGCGTATACTGCAGATGGGAATTTAACGCATTGGTGGGCGCTATTTCCCCTTCGAAATGTAAATAACGCCCGCGGGTTTTATTTCTTTTTTTTTAGGAAACAAAGCCCATGGGCATTATTTCCGCGGGCGTTATTGCACTCCGCCTTTTAAACGCGCGATATATTTTTAAGTATTTCCCGGATATGTACATCATCGAATGCACGAGATGCGGGAAGTGCTTGTATGAAAATCCTACATATAAGCACTGACTGTGTTTATATTGAAATCCTCGTTTATATACACTACCAGTCCGTCTACATATGTATGTATGTAACTAAACCAAACGAACGACTACAAAATTTTCATTTAAATTGAGATATCATTTATATAACTAAATGTGCAACAAAATGCAGAACCTGTACAAGTGGTTCATAAAAGAATTTCAAAACCAAAAACTTATTTTCAGTGCTTATAAGCGGGAAGATGAAAAATTTTTCGGTGCTTGTAAGCGAGAAATGCCTATAAGCAGATGCTTATATCGTTACTATTTTGTGTATATATTAAATTAAATCAAACCCACCCTGGATCCATCCATCCATTACATTACAAATTTCGCGACAAGTTTTTACATTAGTATGTAAATTGTGTTGATTTCGATTAAAGTTTATTTTTTTCTTTCAGATTATTTAAATAAAAGTTTGTTTTATTTTTTTTTTACTATGGATTCATTTAATAACAATCTTTTCAATAATGGAAATCTATTTTCAACTTAAATTTTAATCTTATAGTTGCATTGAATAACTGTAATACATATTGCATATTTTTCTTAAATTTAAGCTAAATACTAAATAAAAATAAATACGAACATTAAGTTCATTCACAATAAGAAATCTGTTTCGAGTAAAAAAATACATATAATACATTGAACTGAAGGATTTCAGTGGGTCAATTCTTGTTCTATGAAATGGTGAAGTGAACATTAAAAATTCAATGATAATTTTAGTTTTTCACTTTATCATTTCGTTTTACCACCTTAAGCGATTTTAGATCATTAAAGGCTTTTCCATAAACATCGAGCAAGTAAATTATAATTTATAATTTATAATTATTGTGAGTAAGAGATAATCATATGTATTTGTTTATCAAAAGATTATGTTTTAGAGCAAAGTGCTCAACTTATGCTTTTCACAGCGACAAAACTTTGGGAAAAACTTTGCGCAGAGAAAACTTTTTACAAATAGATTTGTTTTCATTTTTAAACAGAATCGTCATTGTATGTGAAGTATCCACCTCAAGTTTTCACAGAATAATAATTTCCACCCAGAGCGGAAAGCTTTAAAATTATTGGGTGTCATTGGTGTTACGTGCTTTAATTGAAGTGGTTCTAAGTATGATTTTAAAAATGGAACAAATCAAAGTGCTTTGAAATCAACTAGAGAACATTTTGTTTGGCTCCATTCGCTTTAATGCACTTGCAAAAATGCAACTATGTACGTAGAAGATGATAAGCGTTGACACTAAATTTATTAGATGTGCGTTTATTTAAAATATCCGCAGAATTACCACACCAGTTTCCCCTTAATTTCGATTTACTTTTTATTTAAATGCAATATACTCTTAAATGAGCATTTTTCACATAGATAAGTTGAATAAAAATTAGTCAAAGAAATCTCGGTCAAAAAGCCATGCAAAATGCAGCTTAAAAAAATTAATTATTAAATTTTTCGCAATAACACTTTTATTCATATTCTACCACATCTGTTTCCGGTGGGAGTTTGATTCACGAAAAGATTTAAGTAGATAAAAAAAGTATTAAAGACCCGTAGAGCAAACAGTTGAATGAAATAAATGTTTTAAAAAATACTTGTAAAAAGCCAAATATAGGTTTTTAGCAACTAAGAAAAAAATCATTTAATCCCTGAACTTTTATATATGTATTTATTATTTGTTTGTTTTACTATTTGTCCAAATTCGAGTAACTTTTAACTTAATCAATTTAATTGATGTAGTTTTAAATCAAAGCCATACCTAATTTTAATCGTTGTATTCCATATTTGGCTTTCGTTTCTTACTAACTGTAAGCGTTATGCAAACGAAAAAAATTTAAAGCAAATATCGGTTCTAACTAGGTTTTTTTCTGAATTTAAAAACTAAAAGCCTTTTTTTCAAATTGGGTTGTTCGAATAACTCGAAACCCGGGTTTGGATAAAAAATTCGGATTGTCGGACACCCTTATATACATACATATGTATGTATATCAATGAATATAATCTTTAAAGCTTTTACTTATCTAGTATATTTTTAAGGCGGTACCTCGCGCCTTCACTGTAATTTGTATTTTATAATTTGTTCAGTGTGATTTGTTTAACTAATGCGTAGTTGTAAGTCGTCACTGGCTGATAAGGTTTTGGCTTCACTCGCCGGTCGTTTAAAAGTGGACACTTGTCATGTGTGAATATGGTGATGCCTAGCTCGAATAATAGCATTATTCTGCATAGAAGCTCTGTTCAAACAAATTTTGCGCTATGCGGTGTGATTTGCTATTCCCTCTCTTCTGAGAGCTTTCACTTGCGTACACTCTCCTTACTTTTCTTTTGATTTTACTGTGCGCTTTCACTGCGGTACTCCAATAGATAATACTTTTGCATTGTCATTTCGAAAGATACGCTCCTTCGCTGGCAGTTCACCAATCAGATACTCGCCCAGCTGGTCGATTGCCGACTGTGAATGTCCAGTCCCGTGGAAGGCCAGAGTAGCATCGCGTCCTGCATGCTCCATTATGATATCCTCACCGCCCGGATGATCGCGCAGAAATTGTGTGACATCGTAGACGCGATCGTAAATGACGATCCAACAGTCGGTGTATTCATCGTGTTGCGCGACCAGGGAGAGCGTTATTTCGGGGAGTCCATGTGGAAGAACGCCGTAGCTAGACTCCTGGGGAAAGGATTTATGCAGCGCTGTATTGGGTGGTGTTGCTACTGCCTTTTTAGATGAGGTGTTGAGACCCAAAGTCTGTAGTAGACTGCTAAGCGTCGACGTCATTTTCCCAACCGGTTTTAAATAAACGGACTCAGCTTTATTGCAAAACTTTCACTTTCGAACAGACACAACCGGAGCTTCACTTTGGTTTGTGTCTTCTTTTGCTTCTAAGCCTTATTTTAAATGATTTTAGTTTTATTTTTGTAATCCAAGCAATATTTTAAACGTGTGCGATTTGGAGCGTAACTTCTGCTTCTCCATAAGAGTGTATCTACACCGCTATATATATTTGTAAGGTTTCAGTTGCTATGCTTTGACTTACTTTCAACCGATTCTAGTCGTTGAATGCCAATTAGCTAGCAAGTTTTAATCTATTTATATGTCGGGCGTATTGATACGTAAGCTACTAGATTGTCTTATCTGGAGCGTGGCTGAAGTGTCCGCCACACAGTCTCACCTTCAGCTCAACTGACATTGAGGCAGCCAATTCTTCTGATCTGACGTTCCATTAGCTGCGTTGATTTGCTTCAGGCGACTGTCAGTTTGTCACAATCGTCACAGTCGTTAAATTTTACTCTCTATGCTACAAATACGTATATCAATGAAACCTGACTCACTCGGTAGTTAAGCGTCACAGCTTCACATCGGGTTGCGCATATTGGGTTTATGATTTATGCGGTTTTTATTAATGAATGAATACTTCAAAAGCTGTAATTTTTATTACCTCATAAGTAAATCTATCGCGTAAATTTGGTTTTAAATGGCTACCTTAGTGTACATACATAAATTTTCAAATATACTACGTACTACTGGCTATATATATATTCTAATGTAGGCGCATTGTACATTAGAGTGGTCCAAAAATATACAGGCAAATCAAATTTTTGTAAATTGCCGGCTACCACCCCCAGAATTGAAGAATATCGAGGCACAACTCTCATTTTTGGAATTTAAGTTCTTTAGGGCAATAGAAATTTTATTGTAGCATCTTAAGGCAAAAAATTTTTGAAAAAAATTTGCATTTTTTTTATTACGACAGTAATCGAATGATTTTGTTTTTGTGTTCTTTAATCAAAAATGCAGATTTTTTCCTTTCATTTCATATAGGAGAAGTATTGGTTGATATCCACTAAGTATGTTTATTTGATTAAAAAATGGGTATAACTGATTTTCCAAGTCACTTCGTCATCATTTTGCAAACACGTGCATGCGCTGCACAGTGTACTATTTTAGGGTTTATACTTTTTGTCGCGTTTTTTTTGTGTTGTTATGTAGAACATTGTTTATCGATAGGCATAACAAAAAATTTAAACATCCTCCAATTTTACCTTGGAAAGTTGCCTCAAATTTTAAAAATAAAACAAAATATACATATACATTAGGAGGGGTCGAAATTTTTATATTAATTTAATCCTTTTGTAATAGTGATAAGAGAGTTTATTTATTATTTTTTCAAATACTTTTGTTTTATTTGGAATAATAAATTATTGTTCAATAATTCCTAAATCTCCTAAAGCTCAGATTTCACAAAAATCAACTAAATCATTAAATTGAAAATGATAGCTAATTTATTTTCAGTATTTGACCCTTCATCAAGAATCTTCAATTTATCTTTAAATTGAATAAGAACATTTTTAGGATTATTAATAATTCCATTAGTATATTGACTTATTTTTATATGGTCAATTAAAAGCCTATAAAATATTATCATTTTATTTGAAACGCAAGAGCCCGCGCATCGACCACCAAGTGAAACAAAGCACACTGGTCAGATAATACGAATCCTTGTTACGAATTCAAGGTTTAGGAAACCAGTTTGGTTTTTATAATAGAGAATCAAACCATTAAACCAGGCAGTTTTGTAGTTTAGGGTTGCACTTAAAGTTAGCTTTTTTCAACGAACATATATATTGTTCTATTGATTATTTCGCTGATCTACAGACGAAAGAAGGCAAGAACAGTATTCTTATTTCTAGGGTGTGTTTAAGGTGCTGATTCCGAATATACCCTCAGCTTTGTCAAATTGGCTTTAGTTTGCACATTATTGTAAATATAGGAGCATTTTCGGTAGCTAAAATTGGCAAACCTCTATTTTCCATCACCGTAGGAAAAACTGCTTATGCAAATAAATATGGGAGCTTCGAATTCAAACAAAAAGGAAATAATAGTTTGATACATGATACAAAAAAGAAGGTAGTTCCATTTAATGACATTCGTTGTTGTTGCTAACCATTTGACTTTTAATAAAATTATGACATTTTATCAAATTCATGCTACCTGATCATTAGAAGTAATATATTTTTTTTAAGCAGAAGATTCCATAGTCTACTCAAAGATTTGGAATATGAAGAGCATGAAAATTAATACATACTTTCAAATATGAGGTTGACGACACTAGATTTCCGAACGCATGAAGAAAGTGATCAAAATTATACTTATGCTAATTGCTTATCGGAGGGTGGACTGTAAAAGCCAAATAAAATTTTTTTGCATACATTGAAAATTTTAAATTCAAAATTTGTTGAAGTTAGTGGTGATACGCTTACCACAAAGCCTATTTTTTGCAAAATTTGATGAGAAATTTGAAAGTAAATTTAAAAGTAAATTTAAAAGTAAATTAAAATATTAGGGCGATTCATCTAAACGCCTAAATGCCTCGTTACCATTTAAACCTCGTTAACTTGCTTAATTTTGTATGGAAACTCGATTTATATACGAGGTTTACGCGGTTACGAGGCATGAATACCCATATTATAAAAACGTTTTATTTGGGAAGAACATTCTTTAGAATTAGATTATTAAATCGCATTCAATATAAAACATAAACACATATTGCGCTCGTGATTTTTATTATAAAAAAAAGAACAAAAAAATACCAAGCTCTGATAATTTTGATTTGAAATTGTGTAAAATTGGTATAAACATGGGAAAGAAAATACTCCGATTTATTGTTTTTATAAAAGGGGCAAGGCCATTGAGAATACTCACAATTTATGAAACTTCAAAAAATTTTACTATCCGTCAAAAGTTGTTTATTGAAACTACCTTCTCTTTTGTATCATGGTTTGATACAAGGCATATTCAACAAGGTAGAAGTGACAATTCAGTCGAGCTCTCTCATACCTGACTGTAATGTCAAAAAACGTAAACAAAGAAATTAACCCTTTGTTATGCATGCACCATATTTGATAAAATTCAATATCTATGAAATGAAAGTTTTTGTAAATATGGAGATATTTAAAATCACATTAAAATCGGCTTCATTTTAGTTTTTGTATTTTCGTTTAATGTATGTAAATGTTGAAATGCATACTTACTAAAAATTACACACTAAATGAAACACAATTATTTATAAACCCGTTTTGGCAATTTTCTTGTTTTTATTAGCCCAATGTTTTTGAGCATTTATTTTTTTATTCAAATACTTAATTCTAGAGTATATTCGACATTAAAAAAAAAAATTTTGATTCTTTCTTCTAAATTTACATCGGAACTTAACTTCAATAAATCAGCAATTAAATTTTTGCAACGCGAAATTCCTTTCCAATAAATTTATTAAAAATTACTTCCAGTTTCTTTACGTCCACAAGGAACTCTGGTTTAGGTTTTATCATACCACCATTTGAAATTTGGTCTATCCATGTATATGAGTGGGAGATTTTCTCTTCATATTCAGTAATGCTTAATTTCCGTATGATAAATCCAGCTATGTATGAAAAGTAAAAATTCGACTATTTTCACATGGCATTATGAAAAAAGGAAAAGGGATGTTAAGAACCAGAACGTCGAATTTATAACAGTAAATGGTGATCTAAAGCGGTAAATTTAGTGGAAGGAAATTGTATCATGGTGTTTGCTTATATGTATATGTTAATGTACTCGTGGATCCGGTCGTGCTTGTTTATGGCAGACTTACTCAGTTTGGGTCTGTGCATCAACAGCTAACTTCGTCCCCACATACACCTCAGGAACGGCCGACACTTCAGATAACTCAAGCATTGAGGAATTTTATGGTNTCATCAACAACTTCGTCCCTACAGACACCTCAGGAACGGCCGACACTTCAGATAACTTAAGCATTGAGGCATTGTATGGTAGAGGTACTGCACCTGGGAACAAACGCGTTCGCTTGGAAATACTCGGCTGTGATGGGCAACAAATAAAGTCACTGCCCACTAAAATGGTTTTCGCACACACGCGAAGAGTCTCCTAATGGAACACCGCAGCTACTTGCCCACCGCTGTCGCTTCACTTGACAATTAGGAGGTTTAAAATAACGCACAAGTTTGTTGTCCTGGCTCTTGCCGCACAGAGCGCACCGCTCGTAATTCCTTTTCATTTTATTTCTGTATGTATGTATTTAAAATCAGTCGCACAGCTCAAAATTGAAAATTGAAATTTAAAAATTTTGAATTGTATAGGGTTAAGAGTTGACATTACAGTCGCAGTTCAAAAGAGAGAAATGTCGAAATCACTTCTACCTTGTTATGCCTTGGTTTGATATACTTAAGTCTACGAATACTATGTAAAAATAGACTTTTGTTGTCAAAACAGGTATTTTTGTAAAAAAAAATTTATTTAAAATATTTTTGCCTGTAAATGATGGAATTCCATCATTGCGTTATTATAATAATTGTGAGTCTATAGCTATATATCTGGCCTTTATTTTAGTAAGTCTTACTAATCGATCAATCGATCGATCGATAAATGCATCCATAGCTTTCTTCAACGAAAATTTTTCCATAATATTATAAATAACTAAAAATATTAGCAAGATAATGCGGGAGCGTTACCTATTTCAGCTACCTTCAAAAAAATTACTTGGAATTTTACTAAGTTTTATCTCAGTGTCTCTTATTTGTGCTACTGTGGTGAATTATCAAATAACTTTGTGCAATTTTTATGATATATTAAATTAAATTAATTCAATAATATACTAAAATTGGATGTGGCTCCACTTATTCATATTTAGTGAATCTACATATGTAAGTACTCAATTCACTATCAAACTATACCATATCCAGAATAGGTCGCATTGACGTCGTTAACTATAATTTTGAGAACTATCTAAATCGAGGTTTAACTACACGTATGGCCCTATAAATATAGCACGGACATGAAAAAGCCAAACCGTTTGAAATAATTCTCGGGTCACTTTTTAAGTTAATTCACTTGGTTACTGAATTAACGAGATACTAAAAATTTGTATGTATGAGAAAAGATTATTTTTTGAGTGTTCTTTCAAAATATATCGGCGATTTGAAATGTTGTGACAAAATAACATATGAACGCGAGATACTAAATTGTATAACCTATAATCTGATACATCGTTTGCTTCAATCGGTTAACGTATTCTCTAGATATTATATATTAAGTTACTTTTTCAAAAATTTTACTCGGTAAAATTATTGTATTTGACACAGAAAAGCAGGATATTGAAAATAGGGGCCTTCACACCGAGCTTGGTACTCGGTAATTCGGTATTCAGTAATTCTTCCCCAC